ATCTGAAGAAGTGAGGTTCTTACCCACGAAAGCTTATGCTCCCAATACTTCTGTTAGTCTCAAAGGTGCCACAGGACCCTCTGTTGATCATTAGATCGGTCATTTTACATTTTTTTGGTCTCATTTATATAAACTATTTATACAAAGGTAAAAATTGTCTGAGAATTGAGATTGGTGAAGTTTTCTCCATTTCTAAATTGAAGCCTGGTTAGTGTCACAGTCACTCAGGGCTTGATCCTACAAAGAACTTAAATAGCTTGGTCCTGCAGATAGAAGAATGGAATAGTGCTTATCTAACTCCTGATCATATGAGCTACAAAAAAAAAATAAGCCACTTTGCTCAGTAACTTTGTGGATCTGCAGTTTAAAGAGGTGTAACTGATAGCATTGACAGAACATTTGATTCAGTCTCTAGTTCTGGGGTTTCCCTTAACCTATTTACACCCTGGTGCAGAATGTATTTAATAATAAATACAGTCCCTTGAAGGCAACTGGGTTATTATTTTCAAGGAAAATCAAAATTTACTGGTCATTTAAATGCCTTTAAATCCTCAAGTTACAGACTCCACTTCACCAAATGACATTTATGGGGGCAGGAGAGGGAGCTCCCCTCACTTTGACATTCATATGCTTCCTGTCTTATGAGTCAGGGTTTTGCTGTGTGTATTTCAATGAAGCATGTCACAGCTTTGCCCATTCATCAGTCCTGACAGATTCTGTCTACTTAAGATACTTATATGGCCCCCCATTATTGTAGTAGTTAAATACCTCACACTCTTTAACATATTTATCCTTACAACACCCTTGTGAGCTAGGAAAGTGCTATTATTCCCCAGATGGAGAACTGAGGCACAGAGAGACTAAGTGACTTGCCCAATGCCACACATCTAGCGTGGAGTAGGGAATTGAATTCCTGTTTCCCAAGACCCAGGCTACCACCCTAACTATTGGCTCTCTTTGGGGGACTATTTTAGACCCATTGCCCAGCTCTGTGGGAGCTGGAATCACGGAGGCCATCTCCAGACTCAGCTCTGCCATTGTTGCTGGCCCTGCTATTGCTTCTCTTCCCAAAGCCTCAGCTCTACTAAAAAATCCCAACTTCACACAGACAGCACAAGGTACTCTACCACCTCCCCATCCAGCCATACATTCATCCTATAAACTCTATGCTCTGAGGTCTTCTGACTGGAAACGAGGATGAGATGTTCTACTAGAATACACCCCTAGCTGCTATGATCTCTCCCACTTCCTGTTAAGTCTTCCAGTTCCCCAGGAGATTCAAGCATGCAGGAAAAACAGGAGACTTGGCAGGTCAGCTATTTCCCAGTTACTGCTAAAGATTCTGAGTTTAGAATGCCACCCATGGCCCAGCATTCATAGAGTCATAGACTTCAAGGTCAGAAGGGACCATTATGACTGTCTAGTCTGACCTCCTGCACAACGCAGGCCCAGAATCTCACCCACCACCTCCTGCAACAAACCCCTAACCTATGTCTGAGCCATTGAAGTCCTCAAATCAAGATTTAAAGACCTCAAGGTGCAGAGAATCCTCCAGCAACAGACCCATGCCCCATGCTGCAGTGGAAGGCAAAAAAAAAAAAACAGGGCCTCTGCCAATCTGCCCTGGAGGAAAATTCCTTCCCAACCCCAAATATGGCGATCAGCTAAACCCTGAGCACGCGGGCAAGACTCACCAACCAGACACCCAGGAAATAATTCTCTGTAGTAACTTAGATCCCACCCCATCTAACATCCCCTCACAGGCCATTGGGCATAATAACCGCTAATAGTCAAAGATCAGTTAATTGCCAAAATCAATCTATCAAGCTTAGTCTTGAAGCCAGATATGTCTTTTGCCCCCACTGCTTCCCTTGGAAGGCTGTTCCAGAACTTCACTCCTCTGATGGTTAGAAACCTTCATCTAACCAATTCATAAATTCAAACCAATGCATAAATAAAAACTCCAGTGGGCTGACTTCAGCTGCAATTTCTCTCCCCTCTTCTGAAAGCTAGAATAGTGTCAAGTGTTTGGAACCCTTATTAATAAAAAATACTTTTAAGAACTACACATCACACTGGGGATTGTGGAAGGAATCTTGAATTAATACTCTCATCAATTCAAATATCCTAGCCAAATGCAAGACAAAGATTATTTTACAGACCTGGTTGAGCTCCTTAGTGTACGGTCACCAGTCTGTTGTAGTGGGACCCAGCCACACTTTCAGGTGCTGACCTCCTTTCTAGCACCTCTCCTTGTGATGTGGGACTCCACAGCCCAACTGCCTTAGGCCCTGAAACCAGGGCTGAACCCTCCCGAGCTTCCCCAGTCACTTATGCATACTCCCCCAGACTCCACTCCCATGGGTGCACTGGATTATAGTTTAACTCTTTGAGGACCATGTGCCAGATAAAGTAAGGAACAGTCTTTGCACGGGGGTTTCTAAGAGACAATAAGTTTTACTTTTAAAGCATACAAGAATTACAGATCTTTAGGAAAAACAACAAAAAAGTCTATATAATATTTCCATGCTCACCCCTTCTTGTGAGCCCTTTGGCCCACTCCATCTGTCAGGCAAGTAGGACACTCCTGGCCTTTGCCTGCAGCAGTCCTTCAGTTTTTGGTCTATGGTCAGCTAGTAAAAGTAAGAGTAAGAGAGAGAGAGAGATCCTTTCCTTAAATATGGTTTCCAATCCTTTGCCATGCAACTCCCAGACCAGCTTCAAAGCTGCAGTCAGGTGGTTAAAGTCTCACCTTCCCCTGGAGACAAAGTGGGAAACCAAATCTTTTATCCAATCAATTGTTCTGACAACCACCATTGATAACTCATGTTAGTTGCTTCAAGAAGGTGCCAGGCATGCAATAAGTTTCCGTATTCTCTCTCCAGCCAGTCACATGCTCTAAGCCTAACTACTGGATCAGGCCCCACACACAATATAGGTGAGGCAATACCTCTCTTCACCTGGTTTGAGGATCACATTGGGGTTTAAGCATAAGATAAGTAGAGAAAAGAAAAGGAACTAAAGTCCATAACTCTATATAACCAGTAAATATTTAGCCATCATTAACATTAATAATGTACAGCTACAGGACAATTAATGATTGTCATAGCATTATTGATTCATTTTATTCTTAACTGTTAAGATATATCAGTATTTGAGATTAGTATTACAATTAAAATACTTGCTTATGTGCTAGTATAATTATCTATAGTGACTCTCATGTATGTATACGTAGGGTCATGCCATACACTGACCATGAATGGCACTCATGTCACTGGAAGGTAGGGTGTATATGTATGCGCGTACATGTGTTGCAGGCAATATAGGACTTTTAATGTGAAGAAGCATGATGATCCATGAAAGAGATTTAACTGTAGAGCACTGGCGCATCTAAACATGATTTAAACACTGTTTTTGAATCACACTTTTCAAATGGTAAATTTGTTTCTTTAGATGTTCTCCAGGAGGACATACATGTTGAGTGTAAACAAAAACCAATGAACCAAAAACAGTCTCTCTCAAATCCACAGCACATAATTTCTTCCTAAACTTTACCTTAGGTGTAATCAGCATTATAGGCTGGGATTTTCAAAGAGGAAAATTAAATTAGAGTTGAGTGCCTAACTCCCTTAGGCCTCATTGAAAATCTCAGCTTTAGGTAATACAGTATGAACATTTTAAAACAGATAATGCTTACCAAATTAATTTGTATAGTGCTTTCCCAGTCCTTTTCATTATTCACTCCAGCATTATTAACCACAACATCCAGCCTTCCAAAACGTTCAATTGTTTTTTTAAAAGCACCTACAGTAAAATCCAAGGGAGAAAATTCCTTAGCTGTCTTGTTTTCCATATATTTTAAATGTTACAAATGGAACGCAAAGCATGATATTTGTTACCCTACCAAAGTATGTTAATTCATCTTTTTTTTAAACAGTTAATGTTAAACACCTACTTTGTTAATGTTTAACAAATACAACACTTGTCTAACTATTCAACAAGTATTAATAGTAACTCTATTTAAGATTGTTAATGGAACTAGAATAGTACGACCTTTTCACTCAGCACCTTCTGAAATCAAGTCTTTATTGCTTGATCTTGCATTAGTTTAGGTATTCAAGGAATTCAGGATCTGATTCCCTCTATGTATCTTTTATTTTAAAGAAAAACTTTACAGTCTGAAAAACTCATGATTGAGTTTGAATTCAAATTATTTTAAGAATGAGTATATCCCTACTCAATGTAATTAATAAATATTGTAAATCTTTAAACTATCAATAATTCACCATATTCTTGATGAATTGTACCTATCTAGGAGTAATTGATGTGCACCCTATATATAAAGTTACTGACTCATAACCTCTCAGATTCAATCTCATTCCTTCTATTGTCGACAAATTGCCTCCACAGAGTTTCTATACATCAATCAGAATTAAAATTATTGGGCCAGATCCTCAGGACCTCTATGCTCAGCACAACCTATGTAGGTAGGGAATTCCAAAAGTGGCTTATAGACACCTTTTGTGGGTCCCTAAAGGGGGCAATTATTTCAGAATAAAAAGCTTACAACACTTTTGTGGTGCCTGTTTTTTCAGGGTTGCAAAATACTCAGAGAAAAATACATTTAAAAAAGAAAGTGCACAGATGTCTGTACTGTCAGAATCTGACTCAACAGCAATGTGTGCATATTTCCCAGCAATTTAGTGTTCTTAAGAGCTTTATCATAAAACACTGAAAAAGTGTCATTAACATTTTCTTTGAACAAAAGAACAGTTTTGAGTAGTGTCTCTGCGCATTTTACTTTTTCTTTCCTCCAAGAATTTTGTTCATCATATTGAACACTTGTTCCATTGAATTGTTTGTCTGTAGCAAACATCAAACAAATACTACATAGCAAAAATATATTGAATGAAAATATTGTTGTAATAAAAATAATTTGATGAAATGAAAACCCAGACCACATCAGATTCCCTGAAAGATATTCTTGAGACACCAGGCCATTGTGGCTGACAGAACTGCTCAAAATTACAACAGAACTTTTGCCATACCTCCTTTTCTCTGGCCACACCCTTACACTAGAATGGGTATAATGCCAACAGCATGACGTTTGTGTCACTCAGGATTCCCCTAGTTAGGGGAATCACCAGGTATTCAGCTAAGGCTGCCAGAACACTGCATGGCAATTTTAGAAGGGGTCAGAATATGGTACAATAGTTGTTTTTAAACACAAGAGCATTGTATCTGTTAAAACAGCTAAAAGTAAAGATTGCATTCATCTAACCTCCCTTACCTTTCAGAGTTAGTGATGATATTATCCTCCACTATAATGCTTTGATATTTTAAGGCCTCTATTTTCAGTTTCATGCTTTTCTGTTTTGTGTTAAGTTTATTGCCTATTTTGTTCTTCAGTCTCTGAACCTAACATTCTCTAACCATGTTTCCCTTACTTCCTTAGGGGCCCAATCCTGCACTATCAAAGTTAACTGAAATTCTTTGACTTCAGTGGGAGCAGAACTGGTTACTCAGGGAATCAATGCAGTTTTGGGGATGCAGGATCAGGCCCTTAATTTGATCTCAATTTCAGAATCTGGCTTTATGCTTCACTTGTTTTTCATCCTGCGCTCTACAGAAGCTCTTCAATAACGCTGTCCTTGACACATAGCATTTGAAGTCTTCTGTCTTAAAATAACAAAAACAAAAAACTTTTGGCTTATTCTTAATGATTTGTGTATCTATAACTATACAAATCATCTTGACCACACTAGGAAAAGAGCCAAATACTTTTCAACTGTTCATATATTGATGTGTTGAAAAAAAACGTTGATAAGTTTATGTAGTCTATTGCTGGCAACAGGTTTGTCAGGCCACAGTGATCACAGCTGTTTAGGGTGCAGTCCCAGGGTGGCATTAGCCTTTTAAGAGGGAGCAGGATCAGTGCACCTTGTGCTGGGTCAGATGATCCAGATTAGACTTTAAAAGAGGGTACCTGGGCCTGGGAAAGGAAGAGACCTGGTGAATTAGGGCTGGTAGAGTCCCCTAGCGGGAGACAGGGAGAACCTGAAAGGAACTGTTTAGAAAAAGGGCCTCCAGGGAGAAAAGCCCTGGGTGGCTGTGCTCAGGGAACAGGACACATGAGCAGGAACAGCAAAACTGACAGACACACCTGGGAGAGGAGGCAGTGAGAGCCTGAGAGGTAAAGGGGAAAAGTATCCTGTGAGTAAAAGCCAGGGTGAGCTGAAGAACTGTTTTTGGTTTTTTTGGACAATAAAACTGCTGAAGAGAGACTATGTCTTTGAGAGGTGGGGAGAAGGCCTGCCTTGTTACATGTCCATATGAAACAAAAGAATCTTGTTAGTATTATGATCATTAGTAATTTATAATTATTGTATTTATTTTGCATATACATCCATCTGGCCCATGTTCTTGGCACTGTACAGAATATAAAATACCACCCTCTGAAAACATAAGCACATTAAAATAAATGAGACGATCCAACTTAAAAAAAAGGGGATCTGAAAAGGCGTGGAAGGTGTGTATAAATATGGATCAAGGCTGATCATTCCAAAACTGCTTTGCGGAGAAAAATGGTTTTAAGGTGATTTTTTCAAAAGTAGGTTGGGACAAAATAAAACAGATGACTGTGCAGAGAGTGGTCCACACTGTTGGGCCATGCACAGCAAAAAGCATGACCGTGACCTGACTGGAGATGTGATACTGGGACCCTGAACAGTGTGTACAGTGTGGCTGCAGACTGTGTTCCTCATTCTGCAACCTGTTTCATAGGGGCAGTCACGTGTCCATACAGAACTCCGGTGAAGCGACATAAGGATTTGCCCACACTGAGCAAATTGTAGTATGAGGACCACTGTCAGTAAAAAAGTTTACAGAGTAGGTAGCCGCTAAGGAATTTAAAACTAACAGAGCCAATTTAAATTAATTGATCTACTTCATAGACAACCAGTATAAAAAAAGTTGGGGATAGGCACAGTGTAGCTATGGTCGCTTATACAAGTGAACAATCAGATTGATGCAATCTGGACAAGCTGCAAATGGCTGAAGTTTTATGAAGAAAGAATTAAAATAATCACACATTGCTTCTGTGAAGACTATCATGTGATAAAGGTGCAGTCGATATAATTTATGAGGCAGAAGACAGAAACTATGTGTTTATATCAAGTCTGACATCTTTTTCCATGGAAAGAGCATTCATATAAGTGACCCAAGTTTTTTTTTTAACCTAACTCACTACCTCTGAATGAATCTGTGCAAACAGTCATGGGATGTTGTTATGAAACGTTTGTGAGATCTGTTGTGAAATGCTGCATAAAAAGTAAATATTATCCAGAGCTCAGTAGAGAGGTTTATTCCTGAATGAGGACATGCACAAAATCACAAATCACAGGAGTTGACTGCTTTTTATCTGCAATGGTTTAAGTTAAAATTTAAAAAGCTGTATTCTTTATCCTAAGCATTTAAGGCCAGATTCTGATCTGAACCATAGCAACCTAAATTCAGACTAGTTCCATTGTACTGCAAAGTATCTATTGCAGATCACTCAGAGCAGAAACTTATCACTTTCATGTTGAGAAGAAAGATGCATTTTTGAGTCTGCCATGAAGCTTTATTAAACACTTTAAATACTTTATTAAGTAAATACTCTACTTTATTAAACACTGTACTTTAAAGTTTTTTAATACATTACTCATTAAATAACCCGTATCTTATGCAAAGGCTTTCATACAAGAGTATCACAAAACACTCAGTGACTTCTTTATCCTTTCTTTACTATGTGCCAAGTCCTAAAGCCAAAGGCACACACTGGTAGTAGTATTTCACATTTGCAGAGTGAGAAACAGATCCTACTTGAGTCACGCTTGTAAGGGATCAGAAATAGGCTGCCCTCCAGAAACCTTAATTGCACAGTTATAGGTTCAGTAGCCCAGGTTTGTTCAGGTTGCTGCATGTTATGATAGTGTAGAATGCTGACAGATCCCCCTCCTTACCTTGCAGTTGCTCCTGATCTGTAACATCGCACTGAATGAAAAGAGTCCTCTGAGCTTCAAACTGCTCATCCAGGGCAGCTTTGCTCTCCTCACCGGCTTCGAGGTTCCGATCCACGAGAGCCACCTGTGCCAGGAGGAGGGCGGGGGTGATGCACGTGAGAGGAATGAACACAGGCAAGGAAAAGTTAGAGGAACATACCATACAGCCTTCTCCCAGCCGAGGAAGAGACGTGTCTAAGGCCCCTCTTGCTCCAACCTGCACACCCCAGCTGCACGCTCCGCGGGAAGGAAAACTTGCCCGGGAAGGGGCCCGAAGCCGGGAGAGCAGCAGGTAACTACAGCGTGCAAGGAAACTGAGGGAGGGGCTCTTGGCTTCCTCGAAGGCAGCAGCAGCCTCTGTGGAAGCGACCCGCTAAGAAGGTGAGAGTGGCTCAGGGATGGCGGGGTGTCCCCCGGCGCCCCGCATGCAGCCCCGTGTGCTGCGCCAGGGACACACGCGCTTACCTTCGCGCCCTCCTCCAGCAGTGCCTGGACAAAGGCTCTGCCTATGCCCTGCGCCGCGCCAGTCACCAGAGCCACCTTGCCATTCACGTGCATGGTCGCTGCTTGCTAAAGGCTGAGCGCTGCGCCGGTGTCTGGCCGTCCCTCGCCGGGGCTCGCAGGGCTCTGGGGCGCGCGCTCTCGCGCTGGGTATTTATAGAGTCCCTATCTCCTTTATCTTCCCTCACAGCCGTGCCTCCGTGGGCAGCAGGCGAGAAGGAAGCTGCCAAGCACACTGGGGATGGGGAACCTAACTCGGTGTCACCTGCCCCGTAGTTCACTTCCTCCCTCCCCCCCCCCTCCTGCTGCGGCCCCTTCTCCCCTTTCCCTTCTCCTGGGACAGCGCTGACACCCGCCCAGGGCGTGTCTGTGGGGTGGCTCAGGTCACTCCTGGGAAGAGCGTCCCCAGGAACCCCAGATTGACAGGGGCCAGCAGGGGCGCTTTGCACGCTCAGCTTCCCCCTCTCGCTGTTACGTTTGTTTCCCAAACAAACAAAGCGCGAGCTGCAGACTCTGGGGACAGGTCCTGCCTCTTTTCTTCCCCTTTGCGTCTGGACAAATGGCGTGAGAACAAGTGAGGGGACTTTTGATAAGGGCTGTTGGCAACTGCTCAGGTTTTATGCGTTTTGCTTGGCCCAATTTGTATCAGCAGCAGGCTAAAGAATTGGAACAAGTTTCAGATCCCGAAACAATAACAAGCGTGGAGTCTCTCCTCAGACTCCTAAGTGCATTGCTGGGTCCCATGCCTTCAGTCCCCCCCCCCCCTTTCTAACAGCTGGGGGAATCTCATGTGTGTTCATACCTCCCACGTGGTCATCATGTCTCTGCCACTGCTTTCTAGAAATGCTCGAACTATCAGGTTACTAAGGTAAATAATAAGATACTTTTAAAAAGTGTAATTAAATCTGCCATAATCTATCACAAAATATAAGCCAGGTTTTATTAAAGGAACTTTATTTATAAAGTACTGTCTGCCTCTCCACAGAAGACACAGCTGCCTGAAGAGTTAAAAATGTAAAATTAACAACAAGCAAACCTGAAATAACATACTTCTAAATAAATAAAGTGCTACAAAGCCAACCGAAGTAGTTTCAGTAAGAAGAGGGAAACATGGAGGCAAATTTGTGCTTGGTGTAACTCCATGTAAATCAAAGTATTTACACCAGGAGTGAATTGCTTGCATTCCTGTAGTCCCATTGACTCCAATGGGAGGTTTGGGTGTGCAGGCATTAAGGATTAAATCCAATATATTTTATGCTTTTTTAATATATAGATCGATACAAAATCAGAATAATTTTGTAGCTGGCACATACATTTCTTATGTATATAGAAGGTCTAGTACTTTGTTTATATAGGCTGAGCTGTACACCTAGCTGAGCCCCTTGGCCCCCTCCCTGACTCCTGCCCATGGTCAGAACTCTATGATTTTGGTGAAAGTCAAAAAAGCAGGCTCCAGTTTTCCCATTTTCACCAACATCAATCTGGGTGTGGGGTGGGGTGAGGACTCTAGTTAGGGTGTCGGATGGATTGGGGATAAGGGTCCCAGCTGGGGGAGCATGTTGCTAGACTGGGGATGAGGGGTCTGCATGGTAGTAGTTGGCCAGAGTGGTGAAGGGAAGGCCCAACTGGGCAGCAGATTTCCATTAAAATCTGGCCCACAGAGTGCCCACTTGGTGCTGCAGGCAGAGGAAGATCTCTGGTGCCCTACTCTCTAATATAAGCCTCACACTAAACCCAACTCTGAGGTCTCTGTCTCACCACCATAACCAGAGTGACCAAGTGGTGGTTCTGGTGATAAACAAAAGTTATAGCACTACAGACGGGGAAATGCCATTGAGTTGAAGGTAGGGCCTCCTTTTGGTTGGCCAAATATTTGAGGAGATATATTCTATTAGAATGTAATTGTAATTTTTAAAAAAGCCAAACTATTAAATTATCTTAGTACTAGTACCGTAAATGAGAATGATGGGTGTCTTTACCTAAATTAATTTTTAAAAGTCACTATTCTGGTTTTATGCAGTATATCCAATAGTATATTTTAAAAACCTCATTGCATATTTTAAAAAATTCATTGTATGTGAGCACCACAGCACATTGGTTCTGACAAGGGCTAATCCCGCAAGGTGCTGAACGCCCTCAATCTTGGAGTCAGGCCTTGAATGAGTAAAGAAGGATTTTCGATAACAGTTGAGTATTGGTGTTGAATCATCCCTGCCCTCTCTTTGCCTGATGTAATTACAGGAGAACCTTTAAACCCCCACTAGTTGGCACAGTCTTTAAACAATACAGTAGTATGGCAGCTGGGAATAAAAGCAAAACAAAAATATGTGAACCCCTCCCATCCTCACCTCTTCCAATTTTGGCAACACACACTATAAGGAGCTCTCTGTTCTATTGACTTGACTATCAGATCATACAGCAATGAATTTAGACTGTGTTTTTAATGTATGTATGTTGTGTTCTAAGGCACAGAGTATATCAGGACTGTGAGAAGGCTATTTAACAAGCTAGGATGTTTGATTAAAATTAGCAGATCAGCCTACCAGAATAACTCATTTCTGTTAGGGTTATAAGGATTTTAGTGTAATTGTAATTGATAATATTCTGTCAGTCTCATTAAAGGGAAACTCACAAATAGTTCAGGCCCACACTTTTTGGTATTTATATGAATGCCAGGTCTGGGTTATCCGTATTTGTTACATTCCACTGATATGGTAGAGGGGGCTCTCAGAAGCCCCTTATTAACGTCCTGTGATCCATTGAAAGGGAAGGTTGGGGCGATCTCTGTGTTTTAAATGATGTCTCAAACTTCTCTGGTTTAAAAAAGAAGAGCATAAAGAAAACATTGTTTGGCTCTGAAGAGGAGGAACTTTCAAAAATAATGAATGATCAAGAAGGTTACAAGGCTACATACTTGGCCCCCTCCTCTTCTTCCTCTATGCTCTGTCTTTATAGTTGACCTTATTCACAAACATGAATTGAAATATCTTCTTTAAGATGACTGCTCACAGATCTAACTCTCTACTCTATGTCTGTCTCCTGTCAAGCTAAAATCTTTGCCTTTCTTTCTGACTTGTAGGTGTCCAGCTGTCAGATTAACCTCGACATGCCAAAACAGAGTTCCTAACTTTCCCCTAATTTCCCTTCCTGCCTCCAAGACCTCCTTTCTTAGTTACGGTGGACATTACCATTATCTTCCCCCTGCCTCAGGCATATAATGTAGGCATCTGTCTTTAGCCCCACAGTTCCAGGTTATAGCTTGTCATTTCTTGCTGTGCTCCAAGAGCCAGCCTTTCTTCTTCATCAACATAGCTAAAACTCATCCAGACCTTCACCTTATGTCTCAGTTCCTGCAGTTCCTCCTCTCTGACCTTGACAAATGCCGTACTGCCCCACTTTGCATTCAGAATGCTGCTGCAAAGATCATTTTCCTGACTCATTATTTTGACCATGTCATCTCTCTCTTTGCATCCTTCCACTGGCTCTGCTTTTTCCATCATGTAGAACAGAAATGACTGTCTTTATTTTAAGGCATTGTTTATCTTCAGCCTTTCATCTCTTATACACTATCAACATGTTGACTTCTGTCTCTGCTCTACCAATAATTTTGATTGTTCATTTATCAATTTTCTCAAGAGTCTTTGCATGTTCTTCCATGCTGCCTCTTATGCATGAAAGGAGCTTACTGTAAACAGCCTCAGCACCACTTCATTATGTTCCTTCATATCCCCCCTTAAACTCTCCTCTGCCATGATGCCTACAAAAATCTTGACAACAAATGGAATCTGATGTGCTGTGATGATTTCTAATCGTTCAGAACTGTTACATTGTTACCTTGTGCTCCCCTGTCTCGGTGTTGTAACCACTTCTTGTCTCTCATTTTATACTTAGATTGGAAACTCTGAAGAATGGACCATATTACACACACTCACACATAGTAAAATGTATACTTACTAAGGAGCAGTTTGGAGAGGTACTTCTAAAATTACATGCCTGAAGGAAGCAAATGCAGCTTCTGTGCAGTACCACAAATACCAAAATAGTCTGATGGTTTCTTAATAAGAATTTGGATTCGTATCTATTTTAGGTACTGTACTTATATGACCCCCATCACTATAATATCTAAGCACCTCACACTTTTAATGTACTTATCTCCTCAACAACCTTGTGAGGTAGGAAAGTACAATTATTTCAATTTTATTGCTGGGGAACTGAGGCACAGAGACTAAGGCCCTAAGCACTGGACCATCTCGCCTCTTTAAACTGAGTCTAGCATGTTAGACCATGTGGCCACATTGCCAGTCATAGCTAAATGACACTAATATTCCTGGCGTCCCCTTGAGTTCTCAGTTCTCTATTCCCAGTGACATTGTTCAAATCACTGGTAGAATTGTTTACCTCTGATTCTCATGGCTGAGGCAATGGTGTGTGGTAACATGCCTTTTGGCAGATCCCTGTCCTGGTTTTAATTTCAGTTGCTGGTCTAGTGAATTAGTCTTTAGTGGTTCTGACATCTCTGACAGTCCCACAACAAATAAGATTCTTTCTGAGATTATTGCTCGGGTTGCAAACATCAGTTAATTATGATATCAGAAATAAAACTTAGCTGAAATATTTAAATACTGTGGTGTGATAATTGTTGACTTTCTAAGTCACTGTAAAAAGAACAGGAGTACTTGTGGCACCTTAGAGACTAACAAATCTATTAGAGCATAAGCTTTCGTGGGCTACAACCCACTTCTTCGGATGCATAAGTCACTGTGTAATAGAGATACCATTCAGAGTCCATACTATCACTGAACTTTGGAATATCAAGACTCAGCCCATTCTTTATTGCATTTGTAAATCAATAAATGCCCCATTAAAGAAGGTACAGTAATACCACAACTGGCACATGATCTGAAACATACCACTTGAACTTTGGACTTTGCTGCCTAGAGATACACATTCTGTTTTCTTTTACTTTGTTCATTTTCAGGTAACATACAAGCTCAATAACAAAGACAAAACAAAGAAAAGTGCACACTGAATTGAATAAAGGGACACTTCAACATTGCTGTTGCATGCCACTGCATACACTTCATGGAACAACAGATATGTTCTGGATCTCCATAATGTAAATAAAATCAGTCTCTGTGACCAAAAAGACAGAACTAATTTGTGATGGTCATTATACACTTACTACAATCCACTGTCACATCGAGAACCAGGTGGTCCACCACTCTGAAGCAGGACATAAGAGGTGTGTGTCAAACCCAATCCAATATGCT